GAGTTTATGTATGTAATATTTAGTCGTCATCCATGAATGCTTTGTAAAACTAATAAAACAGGTATTCAGGCTTTGTACATGGATAAATGATTTTAAAAAGAAGTCTCAGTTGAAGCAGTCTGGATGGCTTGTGAATGTTCACCTGTAACATTCAGAAAATGAACTGTTTAAGTCTGTGGAAAGTTTTTTTTATAATATTGCTTCAGCCTCCATGGATCTCATTAAACTCTCCACGAAAATAGATTTTAATATGTAATATGTAAAGAATCACACCCTGGAGGCCTGAAATCACTGCACTGTTTTGATCTCTTTAACTTGGGCTTATGCTGTGTTATGCAACATTATGGTTCTTCTTGAATGAAATTCAAGATTATGCTCCAAGTGTATGTAGTATTGCCACTTACATCAAGGATACTGAACTGATAAGAATTTGGTGGTCCGAGGTCAAATGTCAAGGTTACTGTGACCTCACAAAAACCTAGGCTAAATTTTGGCCATAACTAAATTTAAACGCTAATTATTTTACAATTGAACAGAAATCAGGATCAAATGATTTAAGTGATGACATTTTATATCCAAATTGTCAAAGGTCAACTTTGATATATTAATCATTATTCAACTCATGATCAAGAATTATGATCAGTAAATTTGTGATACTGAGCAAAACAGTGTGGCGGGATCCTCTTTTAATCAATATATGAAAGCCTTACAGGCCCTTGTCATGTTGGACTTTAAAGTTCACAGCAAAGGTCGAAACTAATTCTGAATGAACAGTTTTGTTTGTTTCACCATTTATGTAAGTCTCTGAGCAACTTTACAGAATCTAGCATTCAAAGTGAGTGTTTTTAACTAAAAAATGTGTGTGACAAGGTCTTGTAAAAACCTGTCTACACTGTGCGCATCTTATTAGCGCACCCCTGTTGTTGGAAAGTTTCATGAGATCCTTAGAGGGTGAAGAAATCTAAGATAAACTCTCCACAGACTGTAACTGTTCACTCTCGGTTTTGGAGATGAGAGTAGATCAAGTTAATTTTGAGGTCTGGTATCTGTGAATGAATAACATACTCCAGTAAAGGTTATATGTTGGTGTAATCGTATAAGTGAGACTTCTTTTTGAATGTACATTGGTTACATACTATAACATGGTTTATTACTGAACATTTAGTTTTACAAAGCATTCATGGATGACGAGTTAAATATTACATACATAACTCTTAGCGGGTATGTGGAAGTTAATAAATACAGATATGTTTATTTTTTGATTATGTTTACAATATATATTCTAATAATCTGCTTTAATTCTACTATTGTGTACCTGATCGTGATTCACAAGAACCTCCATGAACCTATGTACATTTTCATTGCGGCTTTGCTTCTGAACTGTGTTCTTTACAGCACTACTATCTACCCAAAACTTCTAATTGATTTTATATCAGAAAAACAGATTATATCTTATTCAGCCTGCATCTTTCAGTTTTTTATAGTCTACTTTATAGGCAGTTCAGAGTTCTTACTGTTGTCAGCCATGGCCTATGACAGGTATGTATCTATATGTAAACCTCTGCAATATCCAACTATCATGACAAAAAACACTATTGTTGTTTTCCTGGTTTTAGGTTGGCTTATACCTGCTTGCCATATTGCAGTCCCAGCAATAGTCAGTGCTAAAACTAAACTGTGTAACTTTACTTTAAAGGGAATATTTTGCAACAATTCAATTTACAGACTTCAATGTGTACGATCAAGTTTGATTACTACATATGGTGTTATCGCTTTATTAGATCTTGCAATATTCCCTATGCTCTTTATAATTTTCACCTATACAAAGATACTCATAATATCTTATCGAAGTTGTAAAGAAGTCAGGAAAAAAGATGCAGAGACCTGTTTACCTCACCTATTCGTTTTAATCAGTTTCTCCTGTTTGAGTGCATATGATATAAGTGTAGCTCGAGTGGAATCCAACTTTTCAAAAACTGCTCGATTAATAATGACTCTACAAATAGTTTTGTATCATCCTTTGTTTAATCCACTCATATACGGGCTCAAAATGAAAGAGATTTCTAAGCACCTCAAAAGGTTGTTTTGTCCAGCCAAAATCATCTGATGTATTAACAAAGATTTTGTAAAGTACAGTGATTTCTTCTGAACTAATCATGCAGAGATGTGAATTCTGGAATGGTGTTTTATTAAATTAATTTTTTCATTTACATTTGTTTCCATGACTGTTTACTGTTCATTATGGAAACAGTAAAGAGTATCTTGAAAATGAACCATGTAATAACTAATAAGTTCAAGTCATCACAACTTTCATTGTGTTTTTTTCACTGTATTTTGATTTACGGTCATTGTTATGTTAATTGGGTGCATTGATGAAGTTCATATTGATTACAAGATCAATGTTTAAATATTGAATGTCACCAATGTCCTAACAACACTGAGTGTCTATATGTCTGTGTTCCAGAGATCAGAGTATCAATGATTTTTACTGTTTCCTTTTTATGTCTTCCATTGCTGCGCATGCTGAATCCATAGAAAATGATTGTTTTTTGCTTTAAGCTGATACTTGAAAGTGAATGAGTGTGTGAGGGTAAACGTGTGTGTAGTAGTTGGTGCTTCAGCATCTGTGATGATTTTATTATCAGAGATCTGATAATCAACACTTTGAAAAAGAAAAAGAAAATGAACCATACTGTGGTTATCAGGTAGTTATTTCCTTATGATTTATGGAAAACAGTGGTGGACAGTACATTTACTCAAATACTGTACAGAAGTAGAATTTTAAGGAACTAGTATTTCCATTCAATGGCACTTTACAGATCTGCTCCACTATATTTCAGTGGGAAATACTGTAGTTTTTACGGCACAATACTTATGTGACAGCTAGAGGTACTAATTACTTTTGTGGTTAAGAATCATTATTTATAATTAAGAATTTTGCAAACTTATGGTTTCAGTTCAGTAACTGTTCAAATTATTCAATATTTCACAAAAAATAAAATTGCAAAAAAATCAGTGTGATGACCCCTCAGATTTATCTTGTGACCCTTTGGAGGGGCCTGACCCTTAGATTGGGAACCACAGGACTGAACTATCTAGCGGTGTAAAGAGTTGTTAGAACCTGCAGCTACAACAATAGAATCTTGTAATGTCAAACCAATCAGAGTTCAGTTACAGGAGACTGTTCACTGCACAATGACATACTTTTACTACTGATAATTTAAGTACATTTTCTGATCATACTTTTACTTAGGTATACAGTAAAATTTACTTAAGTAAGAATTGGAATCCATGATTTTAACTGTAATGGAGTATTTTTACATTGTAACCAGACTAGGTCACAACCTAGGTTATGTCTGGACCATGTCCTATTTGCATTCAGTCTAGTAGCAGCTGGTTTCAGCTCTTTGTTTGTTTGTTTGTTTGTTTGTTTGTTTGTTGGGTGATTTTTGAAAATGTGACAAAAGCACTAAGTTTGCAACCCTGCTTCTTCACCCAAAATCATTTTGAAAGAACCACCACCAATGGAGAGACTCCAACCCTTAACCGGCAAACGAATAGTGTAACCTTATCAGTCAGTCAGCGTCATTTGCGTTTATAGGGCTGGCCCTGAAAGGTGAAACGAGCACTCTTATCCCCACCGATTTGCAAGGCCTGTTGTATCTTTTATCATCAGGAGAGGACAAGAAGTTGGTTTTTAGGAGGCAAGAGCAGCTATCAAAACCAAAGAACCAAGAGTCAGGAAAGACAGGATTTGATAATGGTGAGAACAACACTTATCCAGCATCACATAGACCAGCGAGAGAATTGTGGTTTGGACACCTGGTGAGAATGTCTACTGACCAACCAGCTGCTTGAGCTAATCCAGATCTAGACCCAGAAGCAGACCGAGGAAGTGCTGGATCAACAGGGTCAAAGAAGCCCTACAGAAAATCAAGATGTCCATCACTGAGGCAGGAAAGCCTGCTGGTAAATATGTATGTCAGTGCATACTCAACACACATTTAGACACATTTACTTTCCACTGGTGGTATTCCTGGATCCTGCTAGGAAGCTCGGTGAGGGGCATGTCTCCTTCTTCTTCAGTGTCTGCCGCGCCTCATGAAAGTTTCACCGTTTCTCTATTATCTGTAGTGCAATCAAGGTAGATTAAGATTCAATGACCTCTATTGATTCCATTGAGCACTGTCTCCAAAGTGCTAGAATCCTCTTCTCCCGCGCAAGATTCACCCTTGCAGTTATCATATGAGGTTTGGACCCTTCAGGTGGTTTGAGTATGGTATTCCCCATCGTTGACCAGTAGCTAGGGAAATTTGACATCTCCCAACAATTTAGGGATCAGGTTGGAGACAAATTCGGTTGGTCTTCCTTTCTCCTCACCTTCAGGGACACCGACAATCTTGATGTTGATGCAACTGGATAGCTCCCCTAGGTCTGAGAGCTAAGCTAGTTATTCAAGTGATTCCATTGATTGAATTTGCTGCCCGTGATCCACGGTTTGATTTTTTATGGAAAGTCTCTTCAACTGAAGTTTTCTTGCTAGCTTGGTCGTAGCTAGTTGTTACACTGGTTGGTGGGCATGTACTTTTACCAGACATACTTGTTTTCAACTTTATGTAAGTCTCTGAGCAACTTTACAGAATCTAGCATTCAAAGTGAGTGTTTTTAACTAAAAAATGTGTGTGACAAGGTCTTGTAAAAACCTGTCTACACTGTGCGCATCTTATTAGCGCACCCCTGTTGTTGGAAAGTTTCATGAGATCCTTAGAGGGTGAAGAAATCTAAGATAAACTCTCCACAGACTGTAACTGTTCACTCTCGGTTTTGGAGATGAGAGTAGATCAAGTTAATTTTGAGGTCTGGTATCTGTGAATGAATAACATACTCCAGTAAAGGTTATATGTTGGTGTAATCGTATAAGTGAGACTTCTTTTTGAATGTACATTGGTTACATACTATAACATGGTTTATTACTGAACATTTAGTTTTACAAAGCATTCATGGATGACGAGTTAAATATTACATACATAACTCTTAGCGGGTATGTGGAAGTTAATAAATACAGATATGTTTATTTTTTGATTATGTTTACAATATATATTCTAATAATCTGCTTTAATTCTACTATTGTGTACCTGATCGTGATTCACAAGAACCTCCATGAACCTATGTACATTTTCATTGCGGCTTTGCTTCTGAACTGTGTTCTTTACAGCACTACTATCTACCCAAAACTTCTAATTGATTTTATATCAGAAAAACAGATTATATCTTATTCAGCCTGCATCTTTCAGTTTTTTATATTTTACTTTTTAGGCAGTACAGAGTTCTTACTGTTGTCAGCCATGGCCTATGACAGGTATGTATCTATATGTAAACCTCTGCAATATCCAACTATCATGACAAAAAACACTATTGTTGTTTTCCTGGTTTTAGGTTGGCTTATACCTGCTTGCCATATTGCAGTCCCAGCAATAGTCAGTGCTAAAACTAAACTGTGTAACTTTACTTTAAAGGGAATATTTTGCAACAATTCAATTTACAGACTTCAATGTGTACGATCAAGTTTGATTACTACATATGGTGTTATCGCTTTATTAGATCTTGTAATATTCCCTATGCTCTTTATAATTTTCACCTATACAAAGATACTCATAATATCTTATCGAAGTTGTAAAGAAGTCAGGAAAAAAGCTGCAGAGACCTGTTTACCTCACCTGTTGGTTTTAATCAGTTTCTCCTTTTTGAGTGCATATGATGTCAGTGTAGCTCGAGTGGAATCCAACTTTTCAAAAACTGCTCGATTAATAATGACTCTACAAATAGTTTTGTATCATCCTTTGTTTAATCCACTCATATACGGGCTCAAAATGAAAGAAATTTCTAAGCACCTCAAAAGGTTGTTTTGTCCAGCCAAAATCAACTGATGTATTAACAAAGATTTTGTAAAGTGCAGTCATTTCTTCTGAACTAATCATGCAGAGATGTGAAATCTTGAATGGTATTTTATGTACATTTGTTTCCATGACCCTTTACTGTTCATTATGGAAACAGTAAAGAGTATCTTGAAATTGAACCATATAATAACTAATAAGTTACATTATCAAGTCATCACAACTTTCATTTTCACTGAATCATTGTATATAGCTTTACTGATTGCAAAATCTAACCCTGTTTACAAGTGACAACATTTACATTGTTATCATTGTCTTTGGGTGTATTGATGAAGTTCACATTGGCTATAAGGTCAGCAATGTAAGACCTGACAACAGTGAAAGTATCTATATGTGTTCCAGAGATTTTTCTCACTTTTTGTACTTGATAGACTTGTACCAATGTACCAATGTATACTTCTAACATTTGATGTTTTTGTCTTTCAGTGCTGCACATGCACAATTATATTTTTTTGCTTTAAGCTAATACTTGAAAGATCCTGTGTGCTTGGATGGAGAAAGATGTGTGTGCATGTTGTGAGGGTAAATGTGTGTGGTATTTGGTAATGAAGTCAGAGATGTTGCAGCAAATGGCAGGTTTCTAGGCAACAAAACATTTTTTAACTTAAAAACTGAAAAGTTCTAAAAAGCTAAAATGAACCATATTGTTGTTGTCAGGTAGTTATTTGCTTATTATTCATAAACAGTCAAATATCGTGGGTTCGCCACTAGCAGTGTGATGAGATGAACAATATGTAAGCACTGTAAGAAAATAGGAGAGAGATGAGCATTTTATGATCCATCATAGTAAGATAGCTTCTATTACTATTCATGGAAAATAATTAATTGTATCATGAAACATGACAAATCATGATGGCTTACCAACCTTCAAAATATCAGTTTTTGGATAATTATAAATATGTCTGCTTGAAGATCTTTATAAATAATATATTTATAAGGACAATTACGCTTATCATGCAAAGAGAGGAAAAGGATATGAATCTCCATAGAGGTTCTTTTCTGTGGCTAATACGTGGATTAAATAAACATTTCAAGCTACAGGATAAGCTACATAGTGAGAAGAAGGGTGCGGGCATGATGGCTATGGGAGGGTGAAAGCAAAAAACAACTGTAATTCATTCAGAAATTACGATTTCGACCCTAAATGCTTCGAAACATCTATAAAAGTCACCAAACAAAAATGAACTAAAGCGGCCTGTAAGGCTTTCATATATGAAAAAATTAAAAGAGGATCCCACAGCACACTGTTTTTGGCTCAGATATCCCAACAAATTCTAGTCAGAATCATAAATCTATAGATGCCATGAAACAGAATTATATATAGTGAAGAATTAATTTCATCAAAGTTGACCTTTGACAATTTTGGATATAATAGAAATGTCAGTGCACTCTAAATCATTTTGAATCCAACCGATTATACCTGTTCAAGAATTGTAAAATAAATATAGTCGTAATTAAATTTTAGTTATGGCCAAAATTTATGGCACACTAGGGTATATGCTGAGAGTCACAGTAACCTTGACAATTTTGACACTACGGACCAACAAAAAATTCATATATCAGTTAACATGTATGCACTGAATGTAAAAGTGGACAATCTACAAATACACTTGGAGCATAAATCTATGAATTACAATTCACAAGAAAGAAACGCATAATAAGTTATGCATACAAACAGCATAAGTCCCAAGTTAAAGAGATAAAAAAGCAGTGCACAGATGATATTCAAGGCCTCGCAGGGTGTGATTCTTTACTATATTACAATATTAAATACTATTTATCGTGGAGAGAAGTTATAAATGAGATAAAATGGAAGATGCATGAAAAGCAAATATATATAAAAAAAATTTCCACAGACATTAAACAGTTAATTCATATTTCTGAATGTTACAAAGGTGAACAATAATACACAAAAGACCATCACTAGACAAGCTTCACATAGAGACTAAATCTTAATTTTAAAATCATTTATCATGTAGCAAGAACCTGAAATACCCTGTTATTATTAAAGTTCTTTAAGAAAAAGCAATATAATATAAGGATGAAAGAGCTAAATATTCAATAATAATCTAATAAGCAGGGTATGATGGAAAAGTTAATTTACAGATATGTATTAATTTTATTGATTATAGTTACTAATATAATAATTCTAAATAAATCTGCTGTTATTCTACATATAATGATGTACCTGATACAGGTGAAATTCACAAAGAACTCCATAAGAACACTATAGTACATTATTCTATGCAGAAAAATTTGCTTCTGAAAAAATGTGTTCTTGTACAGCACTTCTAATCATTACCCGAAAAAACTTCTAATATGATTTTTCATATAATAGCAGAAAAACAGATTAAATAAATCATTATTTACAGAACCAAAATAATGAAAAAAAAAAAGAAAAACAAAAAATATAAACCATAAGAAAAAGACAAAAAACATAAAAAAATAAAAAAAAAAAATATAAAAATAAGAAGAAAAAAAAAAAAAGAAAAAGCAAAATAAAAGAAAAAATAAAACAAAAAAAATAGAAAAAAACAAAAAAAAAAATAAAAAAAAAAGGAGAAAAAAAAAAATAAAAAAAAAGAAAAAAAAAACAGGAAAAAAGAAAAAAAAATAAGTAAAAACGAAAGTAAAAAAAAAACAAAAAATAAAAAAGGACAGGAAGATTTGACCATGATTATTTAAATTTATAATATTACTAAGATTTCTTTGTTTTGGTGACGCCTTCTGGTTACTAGCGATATAGCAGTGTTCTTTAAATGAAGGTCACAGAGATAAAATGGACATGTCCGTTGACCATCCGGGGCAGCATCATACTTGAGCGCTAGAGATACAAAATGTTAGTCATATAGGTTGTGACATTAAACCATGATTGATAGGTATTAAGGGTCCAGAGTGTGCCAAGAAACTTTCCTACACATTAAACCACCACCACTACCAGCAGCCTGGACTGTTGACTCAAGGCAGGTCATGCCATTGACAATTCTGACCCTATAATCGCCTGCATCAAGCAGAAATCTACGTACCAGACTATGTTTGTTCAGAGATCTCACACAAGCAAATAAAATGCACACTACCCGCTTACACCCTTGGAAGATGTATCTCCAAAAGTGGTTGGAGCCCAGTACTACGAACTGACACAAGTAATCCCTGCACACCACAGTGTTTGGCAGATACCAATTCCTCTGCCTCCCATTCAGAGATCGGTTTTGGCAGAAATCAGAATCAAATTGAGTGAAACGTTTGATCGGTGTATCCCAAATATACATGTTTAAACACCATTATTCTGATAAGAGTGTGAGCTCTGTATGCACTTGGACCACAATATTGAATTTCATCTAAGAAGGAGAGATTCACCTGAAGGACACTTATGGACATACTTTTTAATGTTGTTCATTAAGGTCTGTGGTTCAATTGACAGAATAATTATTTCCATGGCATCTGTTAAAACAAACAAACAAAAACAAACAAACAAACAAGAAAGCCTTGGAAAAATATCAACTTTATTTCCATATTGATGAACTTTAACGTTGAATAGAGTATGCCTGTATAATGATGCACATGTCCAAGTTAAAGAAGTCAACAGTGATGAAACTTCAGCCTCCAGGGTTTGATTCAGTCTTTTACACATTAGAATCTCTTTTAGTGGAGATTTAATGAGATCCATGGAGCTGAAGCAATATTATAAAAACTTTCCACAAACTGAAACAGTTACTTTCTGAATTTTAGAGATGAACATTCTCTAAGTGCATTTTAAGATCAGGTATCTGTGAATGATAAGACACTTCAGTGCAAGTTGGATGTTTGTGATATGGTGAAAGTCAGAGCTCTTTTTAATTAACACTCGTGTATGCTGATTAATTAATCTGTCTGTCTTCTTACTTGACATTTATTATTATTAGACAGGATTAATGGAGGATGAACTTAATGTAACATATATAACTCTTACTGGGCATGTGGAGGTGCAAAAATACAGATATCTTTATTTTTGATCATGTTTACAGTTTATATTCTAATAATTGCTGCTGTAATTTCACATTGTGTATCTTATTTGGATTACAAAAACCTTCATGAGCCTATGTACATTTTCATTGCAGCTTTGTTAATCAACTCAGTTCTTTCACACTAATATCTACCCAAAGTTGTTAATTGACTTTTTTGTCTGAAAACAGATCATATCCTATTCAGCTTGTCTTTTAAGTTTTTTTTATTTTATCTTTGGAAGTTCAGAGTTCTTATGTTGTCAGCCATGGCTAGACAGGTATGTGTCTATTATGTAACCTCTGCAATATCCCTATCATGAGGAACCACTGTGAGTATTTTCTGGGTTTAGCTGCTTGTTACCTGCTTGTCATATTTCAGTTCTATAATAATGAGTGCTGATTTGAAACTCTTGAATTTACGTTGAATGGAATCTTTTGTAATAAATCAATTTACAATCTCCACTGTGTGAGTTCAAGACACGATCTATATTGTGTGTTGCTGTGATAGTCACTGCACTTTTTCCTTCTGTCTCTTCATACTCTTTCACATACACCAGGATACTTATAATCTCCTATAGAAGCTGTAAAACTGTCAGGAAAAAGCTGCACAGACTGTTTTTACCTGCTGGTTTTAATCAGTTTCTCCTGTTTGTGTCTATGATGTCATTATAGTTCGACTGGGGTCTAAATTTCCAAAAATGCACGTTTAATAAGACTTTCAATGATTCTGTATCATCCCTCAATCATATATACGGACTAAAAATGAAAGAAATCTCTAAACACCTGAAGAGGTTGTTCAGTCAACCAAAGTGATGTGATGTATTAAGACGTTATGTTTCAGTAACAGTGGTGTTAGTGTTGCTTATGTACATGTAATTTCTTTTGTAATAATAAGCAGATGTCACCGTTTTATATTTGGGAAGTTAATGTAAAGATTTGTTCTCTAACTTTAAAGATCCCTTCACTGTTTTTGTCATGGAAACAGTTAATGTTACAGTAGCGTTGGAATATTTTTACGTTGTCTTATTAGGAAGCAGGACTGGATTCAAGACTGCTGCTACAAGCGGGCCTATAAAGCCCAGGTAACATTTATGTGATACTGGGCTATACAAATGTGATACTGTGGGCCATACTGTCCATGATCAGCCACCTGATCAGCTATGGGAATTATGGGGGGGGTGTGGTGGGTGGGGTCGCATTCAACAACAATCTACAGGATTTTTTTTATATATATATATATATATATATATATATAATATATATATTTTTTTTTTTTTTTTTTTTTGGGGCTTTTGGGCCTTTATTGGACAGGATAGTAGAGAGAGACAGGAAAGGCAAGGGGAGGCAAGAGAGGGGGAATGACATGCAGCAAAGCAGCAAAGGCCGTCCGATGCGGTATCGAACCGGGGCCAACTGCAGCGAGACTGTAGCTCTACAACATGCTTAGACCACTAACGCACAACGATGCCCAATCTACGGATCTTAATCAATATGTAGACTAAAGCAGGATTTCTTTCCACCAACTGACCGAAGACTATACGTCAAAGCTAAGGCTTAGAAAAAGGCACAGCTGCTGTCAATAAATTTTCACTAGATGAATTGAGACTACGACAGGTCCATGATCCAGTTCTCAACAAGCATGGCCACTAACAACACTCCAAGCTCAAATCCTGTGTGCCCTGTTCACAGCAGCATAGTGATAAATAATTTGCTGACCTACAGGATGCAGATGTTCAAAAACATTAAATAAACTGAACTATTTTTGACACAAAGAAGTCACACAAACCAAACCTAGTGTAACAGTAGAGCCAGTGCTCCTGTGAAACAGAGAGCTATTAACAGACTTTAACACCTAGCAGAACAGGGACAGAAGAGAGGGCATTTACAGATGTTCAGTTGTCTCACAGATATACACAAATCTGACTTAAATAGTGTGTCCCATTTTGTGTGGTGAGTAGGGGATGTGAAATACAACTCAGCTCATGAGACGAGACAATACACAATATTGGGTTCACGAGAATGAGACGATATTTTAAGTTTTAAGAAAACTTCAATGACAAAAATTAGTGGAAAATTAGTCTTTTATTCGGCTGGAAGTCACAAAATGCAACAATGCAAGCGTGCGTGGAAATGTTTTAACTAATCATATTGTATATGAATGTCATTTAAGTTCTACTTTCTGAGTATGAATTATCATATGTAGTAAAAGACAGAACGATATAAGCACTCTAAAGGGTTTTGCCCCAAACTCAGCTGATCTGGCTTCTCTCCTGTATGATTTCTCATGATTCTCTTCAGACCTTATAACTGTGCATGAACTGTGCATGAGCTTATAGCTTGTAATTGAAGCTGTGTGTGACTTCTAACTGAACGCCTTTCCACAAATCGAACATTTCAGGTCTGTAGGGTTCGGAACTCCGTGCAAGCAAAATGTGCGTGTGATGGGATGGTGGAGTCGCTGAATCCCAGATTTTCCACCACAGAAATGGCCTCATATCAACTGCAGATGAAAATGCCAATGTCTATCGTTATTGGCGTGGCTGTAGCACTTGACTGTGGAAGTTGAGATGCAAAGGCATTTGTCAGCGTTGTTTGGCCTTTCAGTGTTTTCTTCACAGGCGCGGTTGATTTAGTAGAGAGCTGTGGAGGTTCTTTAGGTGTCTTTGCATAGTGCTCGTGTTGGCTACGGTGTGGTGGCAC